TTTCGATTGCAACACAAAAAATCATCATCAGGTGGGAAACCCACAGCAAGAAAATGTTTTGCTGAAGTGGGAGAGACAGTTGCCGTGGTAAGAGGTTATGCAGGCAAGAACGACGTAAAGGATAAAAGCAGTTTACTACAACTGTGCTAACGGTGAAATGCATGGTGGGAGTCGCCTCTCGACCTGGGCCACGAGGCAGCGCTGCTCGAGAAGTTCAGATCGTGGGTCAGGTGATGACAGCAGTTACATTTACTGACTTTAAAAAGTAACAGATAAAACACGCACGCCTTTCTGCAAACGCGTGGCTAAATTAACTAACCCCTATAAACAAGGACAATAAAACAACGCAGGCCGCTGCCGTGTCTTTGTCGCCACAATGCCGTGACTCGGATTCGAACCGAGGTTGCTGCGGCCACAACGCAGAGTACTAACCACTATACGATCACGGCGAGCTACGCGGCCCACTGGCTCCACCTCCAGGCAAAGAGCTCTCTTGATGGCCTCAAGCATCACGCAAGACTCACTCAATGGGCTCGTCCGACGTTTTATCGGAATACTGCTGCAGATCTTAGGGGCCGTCCATAAATGACGTCACGCGATTTTGGACGATTTTTCACCCCCCTCCCTCGTCACACGGCGTCACAAGAAGTCAGACCCCCCTCAAATATGACGTCATAAAGCTCTGCCCCCCCCCAAAAAATAAATCATGATTAAAATCGCTTTAAACTATTGTCATTGTACTGCGTATTTAATGTGGCGCTGCGCTCTGATGTTGTAAGAGAAACATTTATTAAAAAGTATATTTAATTAAGTAGAACGTGTTGTCTATATTTATTTAAAGTTGCGTTTTACGTGACGACACATTTCTAAACCCCCCCCCCTCGTCACACATCGTCACAAATGTCTGACCCCTCCCCCCCCAGGTACGTGACGTCATTTATGGGCGGCCCTTAATACAACTTGATTTGAAAGCTTCAAATCAAATTTATTGATTGGAAGCTTTCGTGACTGCAGGAATTACTCTACAGTAAGACTGTCCATTATCTGTGTGCGGTTTATCCGATGTGCGTATTAACTGAGATTTTGACGTAAATTAATAACTCGTAGATTTTCCCTTCAGGCCAAATTAATAATTCAAAAAACTGTTACACGACATTGCAATTCTTGGAAACGTTTAATAGAAGTCACATGCTTTAACCCAACAAATATGTGCTCCGTTCAATCTGCAATCCACGTGATCGCCTCTACAGTAGTTGTTTACAATCGTGGGCGGAGTTTGATGTTGATTGGCGTGGCTCTGCGATCCACTTAGTGGGCGCAGTGTTCTCCGAAGGAGCAAAAACGTGTTGTCACTCTGAGCACGTGCATCACTCGGCAATGAGTATTTTTTGGCAGACAGATTCTCCGAAATTAAATATTGTCCCCGTCATTACCCTACCCACCGAAAAAAGTCTCTACTAAATGCGTACAACACCAACGCCAGATTTGTGCGGTATAAACATCTATTTTTATTTAGGCTAAGAAACCAACCCCTCAGCTTGCTGTGCCTCCCTCCCGCCACCCTTGCGAGCGGCAGGAACGGTCATCAATGGCGAGGAGCGGCTGCGTGAGCAGCACTCCAAGCCGGCTTCGCGCTCAGGAGGCACAGCTCCAACTCCTCATCGGGGCTGGTTAGTCCAGACACTTTAGAGCCCATTTTGTAAGTTGGAAACTATAGAAATGATCCCTGAAAGTATAGTCTTAGTGAGAACATGTCGACGCAGCGCTATATGTAGTCAGGTATACTGGCTCTACGCTATGGGTACAGTGTGGTTTCCCAGCTAAGCAGGTTTAGCACCTACAAATATTAAACTTGTTCAGTGTCAACATCAACATTAACTGTAATTTAACATGTTCATATCACCTGCAAATTCAACGAAGTAAAGAATCTAGATTTGAAGTTTGGTTACTGCAGGGATCCATACTCTTTGGTTATTTTCGGTTAAGTCACGTAGTAGGTATAAAACAAAATAAATTAAATCACAACGTTTCGATTGCAACACAAGCAATCATCATCAGGTGGGAAAACCACAGCAAGAAAATGTTTTGCTGAAGTGGGAGAGACAGTTGCCGTGGTAAGAGGTTATACAGGCAAGAAAGATGTAAAGGATCAAAGCAGTTTACTACAACTGTGCTAACGGTGAAATGCATGGTGGGAGTCGCCTCTCAACCTGGACCACGAGGCAGCGCTGCTCGAGGAGTTCAGAGCGTGGGTCAGGTGACGACAGCAGTTACATTTTCTGACTTTAAAAAAAGAAACAGATAAAACACGCACGCCTTTCTGAAAACGCGTGGCTAAATTAACTAAACACTATGAACAAGGACAATAAACTAACCACTATAAACAAGGACAATAAAACACTGCAGGCCGCTGCCGTGTCTTTGTCACCACAATGCCGTGACTCGGATTCGAACCGAGGTTGCTGCGGCCACAACGCAGAGTACTAACCACTATACGATCACGGCGAGCTACGCGGCCCGCTGGCTCCATCTCTAGGCAAAGAGCTCTCTTGATGGCCTCAAGCATCACGCCAGACTCACTCAATGGGCTCGTTCGACGTTTTTTATCGGAATACTGCTGCTGATCTTAGGTGCCGTCCATAAATGACGTCACGCGATTTTGGACGATTTTCGACCCCCCCTCTCGTCAAACGGCGTCACAAAAAGTGACACCCCCTCAAATATGACGTCATTAGCGTGGATAATCGAGAGTCTACTGGACATGTAAATATATGTCCTGGTCTTGAGCTATCTTTTTTTACAAAACAACGTTTTGTCTGTCCCCTTGATCAACTTTCCAACCCTTTTCTGAAAAGGTCGATAAGACCCCACACGAGTGACTCGTGACGTTGAAGAAGAGGCGATTATGAGAGCTCTCTGTATGGAATGAAATCAGCAAGCCTGCGTAGATCGCCGTGATCGTATAGTGGTTAGAACTCTGCGTTGTGGCTGCAGCAACCTCGGTTCAAATCCAAGTCAGGCATTGTGGTGACAAAGATATGGAAGTGGCCACTCCACGTTTGTGCATGTGCCGTCACTCAATTTTATTAAAGCTAGAAAAAATATCAATGCTGTTAAACGGCCCGTTTATATACACCTCGCTCTATCGGCTGGGCATGTCATCGCTGGAAATGAAACGTGATCACGCCGGCAATTAAACTTTCACGATTCAATCACGGTTAGACAAACAATGTTCTCACGTGACGTGGTTCTGTATTGCTCTGTATTGTACAGCTCAAAGTAATGAGGGCTCGGGGTGAGCATCTACATCATTAGACCTCCTTTGCAAACGTTTAATAGAAGTCACGTGCTTAAACCAAACAAATATGTGCTGCGGTTAATCCGCAATCCACGTGATCGCCTCTACAGTAGTTGTTTACAATAGTGGGCAGATGCGATGCACTTAGTGGAGCAAATACGTGTTGTCACTCTGAGCACGTGCTCCGCAATTGGATATTGTCTCCGTCATTACGCTAACTAAACGCTAGATTTGTGTGGTATAAACATCTATTTTTCTTTAGGATAAGAAACCAACCCCTCAGCTTGCTGTGCCTCCCTCCCGCCACCCTTGCGAGCGGCAGGAACGGTCATCAATGGCGAGGAGCGGCTGCGTGAGCAGCACTCCAAGCCGGCTTCGCGCTCAGGAGGCACAGCTCCAACTCCTCATCGGGGCTGGTTGGTCCAGACACTTTAGAGCCCATTTCGTAAGTTGGAAACTATAGAAATGATCCCTGAAAGTATAGTCTTAGTGAGAACACGTCGGCCAAGCGCTATATGTAGTCAGGTAAACTACCTGTACGCTATGGGTACTGCGTGGTTTACCAGTTAGGCTGGATTATCACGTAAGCATACATTACATTTAACATGTTTCCATCAACAATATTACCAATTACTTGCACTAATAACAAACGATGTAAACGATAAAAGTAGTTTACTACAACTGTCATAACGGTGAAATGCATGATGGGAGTCGCTCCTCGCTTGCTGCCAACCTGGGCCACGAGGCGGCGCTGCTCGAGGATTTCAGAGCGTGGGTCAGGGGATCACAGCGGTTACATTTTCTGACTTTATTTTTTTTACAGATAAAACACGCACGCCTTTCTGGAAAGACGCGGCTAAATGAACTGACCACTATAAACAAGGACAATAAAATTAACTAACCAAGACAGACAAGGAAAATAAAACAACGCAGGCCGCTGCCGTGTCTTTGTCGCCACAATGCCGTGACTCGGATTCGAACCGAGGTTGCTGCGGCCACAACGCAGAGTACTAACCACTATACGATCACGGCGAGCTACGCGGTCCTGCTGGCTCCACCTCCAGGCAAAGAGCTCTCTTGATGGCCTCAAGCATCACGCCAGACTCATTCAATGGGCGCTTCTGACGTTTTACCGGAATACTGCTGCTGATTCAAGTACAGTGAAACTAAACTTGATTTGAAGCTTTCGTGACTGCAGGAATTACTCTACAGCAAGACTGTCGATTATCTGCGTGCGGTTTATCCGATTTACGGATTAACTGAGATTTGTAGATACATGAATATTCTTGATTTTATTTTATGCCAACGTGACTTTACCGAAAGAACTAAAGAGTTTAAATTAATAACTCGTGGATATTCCCTTCAGGCCAAATAAATAATAATAAAAACTGCTGTACAATATTGCAATTCATGGAAACGTTTAATACAAGTCACGTGCTTAAACCAAACAAATATGTGCTCCGGTTAATCCGCAATCCACGTGATCGCGGATCTCTACAGTAGTTGTTTACAATCGTGGGCGGAGTTTGGTTTTGATTGGCGTGGCTCTGCGATCCACTTAGTGGGTGCAATGTTGTCAGATTCACCGAAATCGAATATTGTCCCCATCATTAGCGCCTCCAACCTACTCACCTAAATGCGTGCAACACCAACGCTAGATTTGTGTGGTATAAACATCTCTTTTTAATTAGCAAAGAAACCAACCCCTCAGCTTGCTGTGCCTCCCTCCCGCCACCCTTGCGAGCGGCAGGAACGGTCATCAATGGCGAGGAGCGGCTGCGTGAGCAGCACTCCAAGCCGGCTTCGCGCTCAGGAGGCACAGCTCCAACTCCTCATCGGGGCTGGTTGGTCCAGACACTTTAGAGCCCATTTCGTAAGTTGGAAACTATAGAAATGATCCCTGAAAGTATAGTCTTGGTGAGAATACGTCGGCCAAGCGCTATATGTAGTCAGGTACACTGCCTCTACGCTATGGGTACTGTGTGGGTCTGTTCAGTTATTTATAACGTGAACATTGCACAGTGTACATTGTACACAACAATTCCACTTAACCTGTATATCACCCTTTTAAAAAATCAGTTTGACTAAGTTCTGAGAACTTAATATCAATCTCCTGTAGAGATAAATATAAATATTAGCTTGTAAGACTCGCCCCTCGTTGCTGTCAACTTTCTACGCTATGGGTCTGAACAACGAGGGCAATTAAAATACATATAAAATCTATTTAACATAATACACACAATTACAATGTTAGTTTATTATCATAATGACGGTCAAAACATTGGCTGGGGACTGCCAATTTAGAACAATGCCGTTGTTGCCACAGAACTGGCAATAAATCGCGCGCAGGGCATTGTGGGCGCATCCTGGTTTTAACAGCCGCAGTACCGATCAGCGCCAGGAGAAGGCACTGTGGGCGACTAACAATCACGCGGCCGCCTCGCTCCCTGGTCCGAGAGGCCTCGGCGGGGACGATTCGCGGGCACGCGAGAGATACTCACGCAGCTTCGCGAGTACCGCAGTCTCAATACACAAACACGCAGCTCTCGCCCGACTCCGCCAAGCCCTCCCCATTCAACACTCAAGCCAACGTGGCGAGCAGACGCGAGCGAGCGGCCCACCCCCCACAACCGTAGGCGCGGATCGCTCGGCCGGGTCATGCCGCTCGTTACAAAACTCGCAAAAAATTTGGACGACGATAAAAAAAAGTGAGAAAATTACCCACGACCAATGACGAGGTTCAAACGTCAACACGAAGTAAAAAAAAAATTCGGAGCCCGCTGCCGTGTCTTTGTCGCCACAATGCCGTGACTCGGATTCGAACCGAGGTTGCTGCGGCCACAACGCAGAGTACTAACCACTATACGATCACGGCGAGCTACGCGGGCTCGCTGCGTGGCACGGTTCAAGTGGCCCTTATAACCGCAACCGGGAACACACACCCCCGGCCCCACAACCCCATCGACGAGACTCACACCTCGACACGCGAGACACCCACACCCCGACCGCAAACAGTCCCCGCTACCACCACGCACTCACGGCTGTACACACACACACACACAACGCGCACAGGCAGACACGGCCACGGCGAGCTTCCAGAGAGGTAACGAGGGATCTCCAGGGGTGAGTTGTGGAGGGGGGAGCTGTGACCGCACATGGCCACACGGGGGCGTGCCCGATCCGGCACGGGGCATCACTCACGCTCACGTTGTTCACACAGAGAAAGGCAGGCGGCCGAAACGTCGACATCTTGCTTTCACGAGTAGCAGCAACATCCCCTGCTGTTGGTCACTGTTACTGAATACACCTTATTTCACGCATACAGTACCTTTGAGAAGTCACTTAATTTACTATTGTGGGTGGAATGACTTGACTTCCGCGGCGAATCACTTACTAAATAAATGCGTTTAAAGGTCGCATTGAATGGGTTTTCATTTGAAGTAAGCCACCAGTGATGAAGTCAAATTCGTAAGCTTTCTCTCAAAGGCTATTGACACGAAACGTCAATCCTAGACCTAGACACCAGAAAACCCATTTTGTTTTGGAAAATTATATTTAAAAAAAAAGGACCAAATTATTTGCATTCAGCATCAATACCAAGCTGAGTAACTTATCCGTTATACGGACACCCAGTGTCTCTCGTTGGCGAAGAGTTAAAACACTGCCGTCGATGTTAACGCCAGAAGAAGGTCCATCACCGGTTGCAGAGTCCCACAACTGCGCAGAACAGGGCCCACAAAACACCTGGGCCAGCGTATTGCACGGGGGGTGGGGGTCACGGTCTAGATTCCAGGTCAGGGTACAGGCTCCAGAGAAGATTCCACAAGCTCATAACCCAGTGCACGCAAACTGGATATTCTACTTGTTTGCCCTGTAACCCAGGGGTGGGGAACCTTTATTCTGCCAAGGGCCATTTGGATATGTAAAACATCATTCGCGGGCCATACAAAATTATCAACTTAAAAATTAGCCTGTTATATTTGGTCAAGCATTTAAATAACTCACCCCTAATGCGATGGCTGGAACTGCTTCTCTTTGGTGAGGCGTGTGATGATGTTAGCTGGTATTGACGATGCTGCTACTCGCAACTGCTTTTCCAGGTTTGCTCTCCTAGATTTATTGAATTTCGAGTCCCGCCTGCGGTTGCCTTGGCAGGGCCACACCAAATGATTTCGTGGGCCTCATACGGCCCGCGGGCCGGACGTTCCCCCCCTCCCCCTGCTGTAAAGCCTCACACTGAGCCTTATGGCTCTCTTTCAGGAGGGTCTTGCCAAGTTTGCTCAGCGGGGATCGACGATTGCTCTCAATAAATCCCAAATGAGTAATGCACGATCTTGATTTGAAGCTTTCGTGACTACAGGAATCCATACTCTTTGGTTCTTTCGGTAAAGTCACGTAAGTAGAAATAAAATCAATCAACGACGTTTCGATCGCAACACCAAGCGGTCGTCATCAGGCAAAAAAAAACACAAGCCGTCGCCTAATGACGACCGCTTGTGTTGCGATCGAAACGTCGTGATTTATTTTACTTCTAACTACGTGACTTTACCGAAAGGACCAAAGAGAGTATGAGTACCGTAATGCACGGTTATTTTTTCCAAATACTGACTGGAAAATCTGGAGGTTCCAGTAGTGGCTGGTTGCACAAAACAACTTTACATGAAAAACAAATCACAATTTTTACTTCGTTTTGCATACAACGCACGACCAGTTGAGGTCTTTTGTGCAACCGGCTCAACGCTGACTGGGTTCAGGCCGTGGTGTATTATCCAGACCGTTGTACACAGGAGGACTCTTAGCCATACTGCAGGGTTCAAGCCATGGATGGTGCGGTGTCCAGGCCATGGTACTGCATGGGTTCATGCAATGGTACCGAGTTCAGGCCATTGTACTGCACTATTATAGAATCAGTCTGAACACTCAAAGACGTGGGGGTGGGGGGCCAAATGTCGAGGCTAATTGTGCCAAAGCTGGGACGACTTGACCCCTTCCTTGGTGGGTTCCGGTTCAAGGCCTCCCCCGCCCCATCATCACCATCACCACCACCATCATCAACATCAACCCCCATCACCTGTCTTGAGCAGCTTGCGCAGGTTGGCGAGGCGGGCGCCCCCCACGGCGTCGTGCAGCGCCCGGGCCTCCTCCTCCCCGCGCGGCCCCACGCGGCCCAGCTCCACCGGGCAGGGGAAGGGCACCCGGGCCCCTCTCCGGGACATTGCGGCTAGGGGTGGGGGGAGGGATGGCTGCTCGACCCCGTCTGCCGCCCACGGGGGTTGCAACCAACCAAAAGGGGCAGCGTTAGCCTCGCCAAGCAGTGACATTGGGTGATGAGTACTGCCATGGTGACTCGATCTGCCAGTGAAGACCTAAGATGCCTATAGTATGGCCTTACAACTCACCCCCCCCAAACGTGCCCTATAACATCACACCGACCCCACCCTGTCTTAACTCTTGACCTTCTCCGTGTCACTTTGAACTCATCCTGAACTTTGCCGGTCTCCAGGGCCGGATTAAGGTTCTTGTAGACCCTAGGCACATCTGGTGCTAAGTCGGCCTTCGGTGAAAACTTTCTACAAGTTCGTACTGCTGATGCTGCTTCCCATGTTACTATACTAACGCGGCTCTCGCTCGCGAAAGCCGATTAAGAAACAACTGTCTACGATCGACCGTGGGACAATAACACCGCCTTGTCTGTCACTGATCTCTATTGAGCATGAGATTGCGAGGTGGTGGGGGGAGAAAAAATCACCATTTGAAGATGTTCTTTGGCACATTTTGTCAATGAAAACAATCTGGAAAAGTTCACCTCCGGTGTGAACTTGGATGATACGACCCTGCCGGTCTCGCTTTGAGCTCACCCCAGCAGTAATGATACACGCACTGTGCCTATCCCTTGCTACATACACACATTTTAGAAGATATCTTCATGATATTCATTTCCCCCCCTATAGGCCCTTAGGCACAGCGCCAGCTATGGCCTACAGGAGAAGGCCCTGCCGCACCTCGCTACGAGCTCACCCCACCAGTAATGACCATCATTATCTAACATTATCTAACAGAGCAAATTCACATTGCCGGTAGTTAAAACGCCGGTGAATTACTTGGATCCAACCCACAATACCGACAGTAATGAGCTAAATCGTTGTTGGTTAACGCTCATGAGCAGGTCCTGGTTTAGCACAATGTTAACGCGCGTTCATAGCCGCCCGTCGTCAATACACTTGTGAATGAGAGGCCCTCCTCATCACGCCATGCGGCTCGTAGGGATACATTCGACCATACTTCACCACGATGGCCAGTGCTGGTGGTTTGCTTAAGGCGGGAAGCGCAGAAGTACGGTACAACGATGGACTTCGCTGAACTCGCCCTACACAGACCACCACCACCACGCAGCAGCAGCAGCTTTCCCCACGGCTGTTACCCAAACGCAAGTTCCATCCCGCTTAGCTTCCGAGACCCGGTTACCTACAAGAGCAGCGTTAACATCGTACATTGTTTACCTGTAGACCTCAATGCGCTCGCAGCGTTTGCTACAACACCGAGTTAACGCGTTAACCGAAGCTAGTCGAATAACGGTCGCACGCTTTGCCACACCGAATGGCTTTGCAGGTGAAACCCCCCCCCAAGAGCCTTATAAGGGCAAGCGGGCCTTCCGGTTTCAGAGGGCCCCGCGTGGAGGCACGTGGTGCTCAATCACTGCCACTTTTTTCAAATTTTCTTGCTGTGGTTTTCACACCTGATGATGATTGCACGTGTTGCAGTCGAGACGTCGTGAGAATTTTATTGTTTTATATTTGTATTACTTTATTATTTCCCTTCGACGTGACTTTACCGAAAGAACCAATAATATGAATCCCTGCAGTCACGAAAGCTTTAAATCACTGCCCCACTCTTGAGTGATTGAGCACCACGTGCCTCCCCCCCCCTCCTGGGCCCATGGCAGAGGACACCACCCTCCCAGCCCAGGCGTGAGTGAGAATGCTTCCCTGAGTGATACCACTGCCCAGGCGACAACACGCCATGTCACCCCCCACTAAGCACACACACATACACCTTGTCACCCCCACTAAGCACATGGCACACACACACACGTTGCCACCCCACTGAGCACATGGCGCACACATTCACCCTAACAACCACGTGGCACATACACACACCATGTCACACCACTAAACATATGGCACACACATACACCTTGTCACCCCACTATGCACGTGACACACACACGCATCTTGTCACCACACCTCACTATGCACGTGACAACCAGTCATCCCACCATGGAGGTGATTTTCCTTACCATCCCACTATAGAGCACCCAACTCACTCTAAAATTGATACTAGCCAATGTTTTGGGCAAGGATCCTTCTTGAATTGGAGCACTATTATGAAAACGGGCAGTGGTATTGATTAATGTGTTGAGTTCTTTGTTCTTTGTGCATGTGCACCACTGCCAATGCAGTAGAACATTTTCTTTTGTTTAAAATAAGGTTGGTTTAATAAGTAACTGCTGTATGAGGAAAAGTGTAATTTCCCAACATTACTAGAATAATTTTAAAAATCTTTTTCATTGACATAAAATGTCCACCGCATTATTTTATATCACTAATGTCCTGTAAATCGCAACAGTGACAGCTCACGGATGTGTATTTGCGTGTCGTGCGCATCACCAATTTCATAGTTCAGCTTGTTTTATTGAATGCATAGCAGTAACCTTTTTGTCTGTAACAGTACGCCATTAAGGTAAAACACATGTTATGCACAAATGTTGTAGAACCTAGAAAACGAAATAAAAAAACAGGCAATTCTCATCAAAGTACAGCAATGAATACTGGTGTCAAAAGGTGCCTCGACGACTGGAAACGTTCTGCAAGAAAACCACACAGCCACCGCATCGTCGATGACAACCTCTTGGTACAACGCAGACGAGGACAATGCTAGACTGGAGGTACAAGAGAACCTTTGAAAAAGTGAAAAAAAATCTGATTTATTTTTTCAAAAACCTCTAAAACACCATGCACGCTCCGATAGTGTGCATTGGCAGTTTGACCGATAGTGTTTACTCTTAAGTGAACGCCTACTCTACACGTTACAATAGGTATAAATAGCCACTGGACTGAGCAAAGGTTTCTTCTGCCTTTGAATGGAACAAATGTTAATGACAGCAGTTACTGCAAGTGAATGATGGGACCTGTCGTGGGCAGCGGTCACAGGTGTGGGTCTTGTTGTAATGTGTTGTGGTAATGTACAAATGGTGTTTTGTGTCGATGGACTTCAAGGCAACAGGATCGGAGAAATATGACCACTGTAATAAGATGGTCGTACATAGAGGTAATCGTCGACTCGTTAAAACTGCTGGAGAAATGTGGGCGTCGTGAAACCCGCGTTGGGGTTCGCGTCCGTCTGGATTCTGCGTTCGCTGAAGCGCAGAAAGCGCCGGCCCAGGCCCACAATTACTGCATACCAACAATATAAACAATTTAAAACGTCGAATTCATTCTTTTCAAATTAAACTTTCCCTTCGACAAAAAATACTTATTCATTGGTGGACGTTGAACTACGGGTGGTGTTTATTTGGAGGCCGGGACGCCGAGGTCCTGTGGCACCTAAAGGGGACAATCCTGGTTTTGTGCATCACCAGACTTTTACCTTCCTCGCGCTGCATACTCCACTCACTTTACTTCACCTAAATCCGTGCAATGCACGTGCTGTACCTTAGAGAATGGTGTGTCTCTGCTATCATAACAAAACCGTTATAAATGATGAATCTGCCTGCAGTGGCCCCTAGGGGATGTGGATGGGGGTGATAGATCTATGCTGGTGTTCGCCACTATCGTACATCCGTCCATGCCGCGTTTCCTTAAGAGGTTTCGTTTCCCATCTCAATCGGTGACTACTCATGTGCGGCCATCGATCAAGTGTCAGTGTTCTCATCTGAACCCAATCAAGGTGGCTCCGCAGTTGTTTTCGGTCACGGTCCGTTCTCCACGCTCGGCCAAGAGAGATCTCTCAGTTTCTCTGGCAGGGTTCCCGCGTGCCCTCGGGCTACTCAGATGGGCTCGGCCTGCAGCTTGCCGTGCAGGTAGTCGCCGACAAATTCGGAGATGACGTGGCCTGTCAGCTCCTCGGCGTCCTTCACGTACTTGACACGCGCCGGGATGTCCAGGATGGCTAGGAGTGGCGCACAATCCGGCAGCGCTGTGAAGTCACGGATTGAGTCTGCCATGTCATCCTGAGCAGCCAGACCAAAAATAGGAGGCCAACAGTCAGACGCACAGCCAGATGATCAGACCAATAGGCGGCCCAAGTCAGACACACAGCCATGACTCGGCAATCAACACGAAGAAATTAACTTTGTGCTGTGCATTGGTGTAACATACGATGTATGGGTTGTCTTATTCAACTCTCAGTCTCGTTCAAATGTATATATACAAGTCATATAACAAAGCCAATTCGTCCCAATATTTTCTTTAACATTTACACAAAAGTATAATAAAATATACAAATAACTATGCAAAATATACTGTAACACCGACTTAAAAAATGTGTAACGTTGAAGCCAAATCTATCATGTGGCCTTAACAATACTTCCCCATTGTGCAGACTTGGCCAAAGCAAAGGTTAAAACGACTTTTTGCCAGTTGATGGCTGAAATTGAAATGCTAATAATGTGCGTGGTTGTTCGAGGAAAAACAAATGTATTCAGCGATCGCGTCGCGTTAGGAGTGAAGCGTGAAGCGGAAGGCATGGACGGGCAGAATACACTCCTCGTGTGCAGTGACGGAGAAGGGGCATTCTATCCCACGTGTCTGCACACACATATCTGATGCGAGGAGATAGGTTTTGGGGATACCCGGAGAGTTGTGTAAACCGTGTCACTCGAAACCACTGCCTGCTCGGAATCGGCGCACTCCCCCATGAGAACGTTTCAGAAATATGCAACGTGAAACCAAAAACCCGCCGACATTCTGCACACGGGCAGCCTCCCAGAGATTGAACCATGAATTCCTCTCTAATGAAACAGGCTTCTATGGCAAAGGATGTTGCACTAAATGATACAATAGTAACCGCCGCTCGAACAATGATGCACTCGGGTCTTTCCTTTGTCTCCTGGTCGTGAATTTTACAATCGAGTTTTTAAAATCAGCTGTCACAAACGTTCTTCAGATTACTTTTTTAAAAACCGCATTCCACTGGGCAGCCCGGTGGCTGGCGAGTTTATTTGCACAGAGAGAACACATTTTTTTAAATGAATGTCTTCCCACGAACACAAGCCAAAGGGGTCACACGCTGGGATACTAATCTCACACGGTCCAGTTTAGTGTTGCTCGCACCTGACACATCCAGGCTATAGATCACTCGCATATAGAGTGAGTGATGCTTTTCTGCCAGTGGCGTCGACTGTACAGTCTCGTGCATCCCAGGGAAGCCGAGCCATGAATCAAGCACGGCGCTGTCCACTCCTGCGATCGCTGGCTCGAGTCGCCGCATTATAATTTTTCACGATATGATAAGCGACATCAAATTTCACAATATGACGAATATCACGATATCAGTTTCCCCTCAATGTATTTCAAAATTGTACTGTATTCTGATAATAGTTTTTTTTACCCTTTTATCTGGCGACAAAACTGACACCTTTTTTTAACAAGGAGTCATGTTTGCATTGATCACAATACCTGCAGTCGGAATGCAAACAAAAAACATAACTCTGATAATGTATGCAATGTCCTTGAAATTGATTGGTCCACACCCGAGACAGCTTTCCTGAGAAGCCTAGTCTCACATGGTGTTGGACCAGATGACGCCTTTGACCAATCAATTTCAAGGACAGTGCATACATTATCAGAGTTATGTTTTTTGTTTGCATTCCGACTGCAGGTATTGTGGTCAATGCAAACATGACTCCTTGTGAAAAAGGTGTCAGTTTTGTTGCCAGATAAAAGGGTAAAAAAAACAATTCTAGATTTAAAGCTTTCCTGACTGCAAGGATCCATACTCTTTGGTTCTATTGGGTAAAGTCACGTAGGTAAAAAAAAAAATTACCCAATATAACCAAAGAGTATGGTAAAAAAACAATTATCATATTTTGCTACTGGCAAAGGAGGTTCCAATGGTGAACTGTATTCTGTTTGTGCTTTCTGTACTTCTGTTATGAAAAGTAAGTTACGTAACTCTTATTCAATTGCAGTTCGCTCAACATAAGCCTGCCACGTAGATCATATTATTAATGTAAATTTAAAATCTATAACATTTATAATGCACATGCTGTCAATTATACAAGACACAAATAATTAAATGAACTACAAAAATTATTACGTCATACAATCACCATTCCGTCAATGACTGAAAAAACACTTTAAAAGTAGTCATTTAAATCATTACATCTTTCTACAGCTAAAACTATTCTGCTTTTGTTATTGAATAATTGTCAGCAGAAAATATTCAAGCAAAACAAAATGGTAATCAATATAAAATAATCAGAAAAGATGATATGATTATTGTGGACCTTGTATCGTATGATGTATCAGTATCGCCATATCGCCAGTAACCCTACTGCTGGTACGGTGCCGTGTAGGAGGTCTAGGTGGGTTTAAGAGGGTTCGGGGTGGGTGTAGGTGGGTATAGGTGAATGTGGGTATAGGTTGGTGGATATAGGTGGTTGTGGGTGGGTATAGGTGGGTGTGGGTGGGTATTGGTTGGGTGTGGGTGGGTATAGGCGGGTGTGGGTGGTTAGTGGTGGGTGGGTATAGGTGGGTGTGGGTGGGTATAGGTGGGTGTGAGTGGTTAGTGGTGGGTGTGGGTGGTTAGCGGTGGGTGTGGGTGGTTAGTGGTGGGTGTGGGTGGTTAGTGGTGGGTGTGGGTGGATAGTGGTGGGTGTGGGTGGGTATAGGTGGGTGTGGGTGGGTATAGGTGGGTGTGGGTGGTTAGTGGTGGGTGTGGGTGGATAGTGGTGGGTGTGGGTGGGTATAGGTGGGTGTCAGGGTGTGGGTGGGTATAAGTGGGTGTGGGTGGGTATAGGTGGGTGTGGGTGGTTAGTGGTGGGTGTGGGTGGATAGTGGTGGGTGTGGGTGGGTAGAGCTGGGTGTGGGTGGGTATAGGTGGGTGTGAGTGGTTAGTGGTGGGTGTGGGTATAGGTGGGTGTGGGTGGGTGGTTATTGGTGGGTGTGGGTGGATAGTGGTGGGTGGGTATAGGTGGGTGTGGGTGGGTATAGGTGGGTGTGGGTGGTTAGTGGTGGGTGTGAGTGGTTAGTGGTGGGTGTGGGTGGGTATAGGTGGGTGTGGGTGGGTATAGGTGGGTGTGGGTGGGTATAGGTGGGCATGGGTGGTTAGTGATGCGTGTGGGTGGTTAGTGGGGGGTGTGGGTGGTTAGTGGTAGGTGTGGGTGGGTATAGGTGGGTGTGGGTGGTTAGTGGTGGGTGTGGGTGGGTAAATGTGGGTGGTTAGTGGTGGATGTGCGTGGGTATAGGTGGTTGTGGGTGGTTAGTGGTGTGTGTGGGTGGTTAGTGGTGGGTGTGGGTGGTTAGTGGTGGGTGGTTAGTGGTGGGTGTGGGTGGGTATTGGTTGGGTGTGGGTGGGTATAGGCGGGTGTGGGTGGTTAGTGGTGGGTGTGGGTGGTTAGTGGTGGATGTGGGTGGTTAGTGGTGGACGTGCGTGGGTATAGGTGAGTGTGCATGATGCTGGGAGGCCTCACCTCTCCGGCGTAGAAGAAGTGGAGCGGCTGCTCCTCACCCCGCTGCTTGTACTCAGCGATCACCTGCTCCGCAATCGGCTGCAGCATCTGTCTCACGGGCTCCAGCTCTTCCTCCTCGTTAGAGTCTGTACACGCCCCACATGGCGACATTTGCTTTGTTTAATGAGCTTGCAAATGATTAATTAGATCAAAATCGCGTACTGCGCTCACGCTGCATGTGCTGAATTTCACGCCTAAGAATCATTCACAATATATACGTAAATGTACATTTAAGCAAATGGAATAATTTATATAACCGAAATAAAACAAGGCAGTACGTTGTAAACAGTGTGCATATGAGACGTTACAAATTGCACATAAACGAGACATTACAAACAAAATAATAAATTTGTGAAAGGAATCATGCCTAATACATCGAATCTTTATTGTTAATGTTTAGGACTGAATGATAACAAAGGTTGGACTTCACTACAACCAGAAGCACACAAATGCACGCACTCATTGAAAACACACAATTGTAGTTATGTTAATCGAAAATCGCATGCATTATAATTACAATTCAAACAACTCGATGTAAGGATTAAAATGTAATTGTACTGTCGCAAAAACCTTTTTTTCAGACTCCAAACAAATTGACTTAATGATTTTCAGAAGGAATACCAAAGTGATTCGCGTCACTATTTCATTAGTTCCGACTGCGTTGCAGCAACTCGGCACAAACATGCAAAACATTACAGCAATCCTTAGCCAGAGAGGGCTAGGTAAGAAGAGACCAGCCTAGGTTTCTTGCTACCAGGATTATATAAATTGAGGACACAGACTGCATAGATGGGACACGGGTGGGACAGGACAAAGGGTAGTAAACCAAAGTCACCAATGATAAAGATTCCAATGTGGGGCGCAGAGGGGTCGGGGTCTCATGGGCGGATTTGGTAGAGGAAGGTATCTGCCAAAGTTCACTGCAGCTCCAAAAGCAATGGTGCTGTGCAACAAATATCACATCAGCCACTATCATCCTTGCGAAACACCACTCCGTGAGAAGACCAAAAACATTTGCAAAAGTGAATTGCCATTACCCTCCATGTCAGTTTATGCAAAACTCTGCAGTGCCCCACAGCTATCCCACTCGATACTGGCTGTCTGATTTTCAGGCACTAACACCATCATAATCATCATCAGCCATGATTTGCAGAAGGCCTCCCAAGCCGTCGCCACCTCTCACAATGCTGCAATGCAATAATACACCAAAGCACACCTGCACGCGACCTGATTCGACATGAACACGTTTGCTAAATGCAACGGTCAGCACTGACAACGCGCAATAGGAGACACAAGCTCCTCGCACGGCACACCAAGGGGCCCTCACCGACAAAGAGCACGAGCGCGGGCTCCTGGTTGAGGATCTCGGCGTTGGCAGCGCTCAGCATGCTCAGGGCACGCGGGAACCACGGGAAGAGCCGGCCCTCGCGGTCGTCCATGATGGCAACGCGCGCCGCAGGAGTGATCACGCTGCGGTCCACGTCCAGCATGACGAGCGCCGGGATGCCTGGCGACACGCGGGGTCAGGGTTCAGAGGGGTAAATCAGCACAGCTGGAGAACTTGGGTTTGAAGCCAGCTTTTGGCGGCTCATGATTAAAATTAGTTCTTAAGTTTTGTGAGTTGATAATCTCAGCCCAGTCACCAGTGACTTACAAAGAAACCCATGGACTCGCATAGATAACCACTGTTTTATAGAGTGACTCGTAGACTTAAATGGAGATTAATAGATTCACACAGAGCTCTTTAGACACGTATAGACTGAGTTCTGATGAAACTGGATTCTTAAATGTAGTGGGGTTGACAGTCTCAGCCCGGTCACCACTGAGTGCCCACTAACATTGGTTTTTCACTCAGATTGACTAAAATCCCGCTTTGAGAATTGAACATCAATTTCATTGACACATTTTTCTGAGCATGGTGCGAGATCTCAAAAACAGTGGCGTGATATTTGCCTCCACAGGCCACTCTCTAACATGGGGTGATGCACTGCACTCCAACAATTGCGAATGGACACTTAATCACAAACTGACGCTGTCAGCACAAGTAGAATAAAATTGGCAAAAAGACAAAAATTTATTTGAAAAAACCACCCCCAATAGCCTCAAAACCTCTGTCTCTTCACTTCGAATGCATTCCCCACTGACGCATTAATAACTTTTACAAAAGCAGGTTCAGGAAGACCCGTGATGTCAGTGCACATACACGAAAACACTCCCGACTCTGCTACAGCGCTCCCGTTTGGCACGATTCTTGCCGGACGAAAACCACACACTCCACTGTGTGTGATGGAAGGGTGGGGAGAGTGAGGATGGAAGGGGAGTTGGAGAGCAGAGTGAGGAGAGAGTGAGGAGAGAGGGTAGGTAGAGTGTTAATGCAGAGTGATGGGAGAGGGAAGGAGGGAGTGGAGAGTAAGGGGAGAGTGAGAGGGAGGGAGGGCGGGAGCAGGGCGGGTATATGGGAGGAGAGGGGCTGCTCATTACCCTGGATGCCGTAGAGCTTGCTGAGGTTAAGCCGCCGTGCCGTGTCAGCGTACGGCACCGACAGCCAGGGCATCTCGCCAAAGTACTGCGCAAAGGACTCGTCTGACCTGGGGTAAATCACAGACATGCGTCACGCCGGTCCTCTGGGCCTCACACGATTATAATATACAGTAATGCAATGTGGATTTACAAGGCATCTAAATGCAACCGTTTCTCAGGATGCTGTACAGACGAGCTGAATTGTGCAGGGCAGCTAGCTCGTTCTAGTTACCAGGGCAGTCTGCACACATGGTTACTATTGAACGGGTGTTGTATCGCAAACACAGCTATCGTGTGGTGGACTCGCTGCGTTTGAATAGTGGGATTGGCATGATTGGCTAACTGAGCGATAAATGACAGCGTCAAGACAACGCACGCTGTGACAACCACCACCGCTCTCCTCGCGACTCGTTTGTGTATGGGACAGCATCCATATACCTGTACGGTGCGCCTGTGCGGTGTCTGTGCAGTGTCTGTACGTCTAAGCTGGCGTCGACGCATAATGCGAGGGTCCCGGAGAGCGTGGCACACCGAGAGCGCTGAGCGAGCTCACCTGTCTGAACTTACAAAAATGATCTCAAACTTCTTCCCGGACTCGCGGACCCTCCTGTACACCTCCAGCAGCATGGGCGTGAAGGACTTACACGGAGGGCACTAGAAACACGGGCAAAGACAAAGTTATCCCATATAGCCATGCAGACTGTTAGAGCAAGTGCTGTTGTGAGCACTTAAGACACTGAGCACAAGGGGTGTGTTGACACCAAAATCATACCTGGCCACCTTTGTGCCCCCATTGCTATTTAACAACCAATTCAGGTACTTATATGTGGCCGATTTAACCCAGGGGAGACCCAAGATAAGTTCTGATACCACTAGCCACTGCTGTTAGCTGTGGCTGAATGAAGACAGCCATGAATAGAATTCAGGTCGCCAGGTTAGTCGTGAACTGTGGGCACCACAGTCACGCCACCACTACCCATAGGGAGCGTGCACTCAAACACACACGTGACCCCAAGGGAAAGCGAGAGCCACAGGGGCAGCCACGTCACTCTGCAGCGATGCCTCATCCACTCACTGATAATTAACGTGCTCTCTGGTAGCACCGAGTCTCTTAGGAGGGGTCACGGTACAGAACCGAGAGAGCTATTTTAATGGGTTTTGCAGCTGCACTCGTTATTCTTCACCAATTCACAGAAACGGAAAAAGAAGCGATCGGCCAGTGCTGCCAAGAAGCCCACGTTGAATCATCACGGCACATTGGGGCACACACACACACATACACAATGGACAACACCACCGCCCCACCACAGCAGAGCCTGAAAAACAGGCTTCCCGTCGCGGCAGCGCCTGCAGACGTTTGCGTGTGCAGGGTAGAGCAGCGTGCAGCGTGCACCTCCACCAGGCGCCACGTTCGGGCGCACATCCCGAGTAATTTTAGCACGCGCGCCCGCATGAGCAAGACAGCTGTGTACCTCTCTGATGGAGTGTAACCTCGGTGAAAAAAGTTCACGAAGAAACCTCCCCCCTCTTCCTTTTTTTGCTAAACCCCCACCCCGGCGGCGTGACAGCTGGGGCTCCCGGCGCACGCCTGCCTTGTCACTTGCAACAAGCGAGCGTGGTTCCCAATCAATGAAAAGCCAAAGCGGGTTTGAAACACGACACCCTCGCCCACCCCTTGGCTGTGTTGCACACCGCAGGCTTGACTGCCGGCACAATCATTATACACACACACACAAAACTGCCGCGGTGCAGTATATTCGTCAATGAAGGCAATCGTTGTGAAAAGCCTGTAAACCATTGCACTCCGAGTTGTGTGGGGAAAAAACGAAGCAAAGGGCCCTTCCCTCTGACCTTCGACAAGCTGACCAGGTCAACATAACCCCACCGCTTACCCAGTTGGCAGCAAAGTACATCCCAATAAAGTGTCCTTCCAGGCTCGAGTAGTCGACACTTTCACCTGACGACCTCAGCAAGGGCCCCGCGATCACCTGGCTGAAGGGCTTGGGGGTCCACGGGAACTCGAGGCCTGGAGTAAAAAGCGATCGAAACCTTGGCCGTCGCGTACGGTGCACGGACGCACCACTCGCCCCCCACCCCCTCACACCTTCCCCCGAACACATTTCGCGAGAGAGCGTGGAACCTGCGGGCGACAAGCTCAACACCGCAGGACTTTCACTCCACCTATTAAGTGTATTTACAGTGCGCAGTTTAAACACACGGGAACATCTCGCCAAATATTTGGCAGTGGCCGGGAACCGAATACTAAGGGGGAGCAAAAGGGGAAATCTGTCAGCAGGGGAAGGAGGAGGGACCTGAGCTACTCGGCCACGTTTCACCATCTGTTAAGGCCATGCTATATAAGAAATTTTAGTGCAACCCTCATCATCAGCAAGTTTCACCGGCAATGCATTGAGCACGAGCAATTATGGCGAAATGTACAGATATAATGACGGAGTTCTATCTAGAGGCTAATATATTATGTGGCAACTGTTGCCGGTGTAGATCACTGGTGATGGTTGCTCCACAATTGTGCTGATTTATCACGACGTTTTATCATGGCATTTGGCTGGAGCGCCCAAACACAGGATTGCACATTTACAGAAATATTTCAGGACTTACTTGACTCAACACGGTGAATTGAAAATTGTCTTGAACTCCGTCCAAGCAGCATGCATGTGGGGTGTAACTCGTGATGAGTGAGAGCGAGAATGAATTCGTAAAGAGGAATGAATAAAATACGAGAAAAGTGTTGGGCATGGACGGGCCAAGCAGTGACGACAGTGGCCTGCTCACCATTGGGATCCTCAGACACTAGCGCCACACCGTTCTTGGTGATGACTCGGCCTGATTTGGCGTCCAGGAACACGAGAGAAGGGATGCCCGTGATCTTAAACTTTCGGCACAAGTTGAACTGCAAACAGAGATCGATGACAACACGCAAAAGGAATGCATTTCAGATGTCGCTTTAAGCACGCTATGCAGTACGCTCTGCAAGTTCTCTCACCGCTACATTCGCAGCAAATGTTGGGATCAGTCCAAAACAATTTGATTACATGTATAATAAAAATACATTTTGACTCGCATAATAAATACATCTCCACCGCTCCAGAGTTTTCTGAACCAAAAAAAAATCTTTCATTTATTTTTTTCTCTCCAAACAACTTCCTGAGGAGTCATAAAACACTTCCCCAAACCCAAAGCGGCCGTCTCTGTTGACACAGCTTGCTGGAGGAAGGGGCCTCGCAGCACACGCAGCACGAGCGCATCCCGAGCACGCTAGCCTGGCCTCCTGGCGACACGCGGGGTGCCCGGCAACACGATCCCCCACGCCGTGCGCGCCGTCCTGCTACAAATTGCATCGCGCCCTTTCATCGTTTACAGCCGCTGGATTTCCTTGGAGTGGGCGGCAGCTCCGATCGCGTTACTTCGTTCCTTTGTGTGCCCGAGCACCATTGAGCCGCTGTGCCAAGCGCTGCACCTCTCGCCACATCACCCCCCCCCCCCCCCCTTGACAGAACGAGTCAACGAGCTACTCCTTACAGTAATAGGTTTTTACCCTTTTATGGTGCCAGATAAAAGGGTAAAAACCTATTACTATATCTTGCTACTGGCAAAGGAGGTCTCGTAATGAGCTACTCCTTGCCGCCCCCACCCTGGCAAAGAGTTGCAGATAGCGCTCAGAGACGCACGCCTGTGCTTGGCTGTCTGCTCGTCTGAATAACAAATAGCGCGTGCTGTGCCAGCCACCACAGCCGTAACAGCAGTAGACGGCATTTCACGGTCAATGGCAACCGCGCATCCGATGGATATACAGAGCGCCATTATTTTCAAAGCACAGCGTTGCTTATTTTCATAACAACAAATTATCTCCATTGTGAATGAGACTGCCTTGTGATAAGCATTTTGTTTGTTTTTTTGTCAAGTTCCAAAACCGCTTTTCTCATGGCGTCTCTGATGTGGACACAACGGCGACAAGCGGGGCTCCGTTCGAAGCCACGCTCTGCGCTGGGACTACGCTGTGCGCAGCGTTTGTACAATCGCAGGCTACGGCGGGGCCTGCACTACGGCGATGGCGCCACCTTCCCGCGCGCACATGACGCGCACGTCTCCCGTGCACAATGCACGCGCTTCCTGTTATCGCTGCGAGTCCTCATAGCACGAAAACTCCTGCAGGCCGCTCTTTGTTGTTGCGTATTTAAACAGGCGCGTTCCAGCAGTGCCAATATTGTGACGTTCCGGCGTTCACCCGTGTCACCTCCGGCCGCCGTGTCACACCTGTCGTGATTATGCTTCATCTGCTGGAAAGTCAACTCGGGCACGAGTCCAATTTGCTTGGTATTTTGTGCTCGCACATGAAGACGCCACACACCGTACCGTTGGGATGAGGCCCCATGAACGTATATGCGTACGAGAGTGTGGTTTCCAACGCCGGAACCCGTAACCCACTCGCGCAACCCCTCTGCTCTACTCCCTCTATATAACCCCATCCAGTTGTGCCGGTATACGATGCACACAGTCGTGCGATGGGTGGGGGAACACCGCTCACACCTCGCCACCCCCAGCCAGAGGTGCCCACGACACTTCCTGGAGTTGAATTGGTGTCAATAAAACACGCTGGGATATTAAGCGAGGTTGCGGGGGTCGCGTCCAACCAAACACAATGGATTCAGGGGTCGCAAACGGTCGGCGCTGCCTCTGTAGAACGCGGCCTCCCGGGGAGCGCACACAAGTTTACAGTCTCGATCTTTTGGTATTAAGCCCTTTACAGCCGGGCTCCAGCGTGGGTGTTGAATTCAGAGATGGCTATCGAGTTTCATAAAGAGTGTTCGCCATGCCGGTAAAGCAGCACGGGGCACGGCGCAGGGAGTCGCATCACAAAACGGGTTCCAGCGGCAAAGCCAGAGGGCCATGCGTTTATTCAGCGAAACAATATTTTTCTACATCATTAGTCAAATACGCAAGAGCGGAGGGGGGAGGAAAAAAAAGGCTGATAAAATCATATTTCGCAAGTGCAGCGTTGAAAAAATTATAAGATTAACATGCCGGGGTGCAGTGGGGGGTTGGCACCGCTCAGTCACGCTTGCGCCAGGCAGGCCTCATGTGGCACAAGATTTCAGGGTTCTTACGAGTTGGTGGAAATTCCTGAGGCTCAACGCCCGATTTAAACACCCCTACCCAAAATGGGGGTTGGGGGAACTGGAGGCAGGAAGAGCACATTAATCTATACAGCGACAAGTACGTATGCGGTTATTCTTAGTTTTTCAGGATTCCGGTGTGAGTGACGTTGCTCACTGGAACTCGGTAAAGACGGAACGCGACTCCGACCCACGCCGGCCCTCGGCTGCCACCCCGATTGTCGCTAACGCAGGTGTGCGGTGGCGGTGACGGGGTGACGCTCGGGGGGGATTAGCTTCACTCGCCGTGACTGCACCGGGCAACGCCGCCACCGCAAAGACGCGCAGGATCAACTTTCACTGCCGATAACTTTCCTAGGTGCGACACACACTCACTGCAGCCTGTGTCAACATGGGACATGGTAGACACGACACACGCTTTTACAGTACATTATTACGGGCATGGTGTACACACAATACGTGCGTTTATGTAGGCACATTAACCCATGAAATACAAGAATGCCTTGAACGAATGTAGGAATCAATGTATTGATTAGAAGAGTTGTTTATGCTCACAATACATGCATTGAATGGCTTATCATACATTTCCACAAACTATATTGAAATATGTAAATAATATTATTGTCACATTGAGGGTCATGAAGCAGACAAAACTCTACAAATGCAACGCAAAAAAATGATAAACGTTACAAATGAGGCAGTAAAAATATGTCAAACAAAGCATACATTTTAATAATAAACATTCCTGAATGGAAATAGCTTTGACCGTGTGCTGTGGTGCCTGTGTGTCGACTGCACGCGGAGACCGTGGGTGGAACGACCCATCAATAAATATCGACTCTTAAGCTCATGATACATGCATCGAATTGCGCGTGTTAAAATCAATGGTTTGAGATTCAAGTGTTGTGTTCAATGGGTTGACATCTCCTCCGAAGCCACAATCAGCGTCAACATTCACCGCAATGTATGAAAACAATTGGTCCCAAAACCAATCACAGCCGTGAAAGCACAACTTCCTGAAGAAACTCCCAGCACGAGGAGCAAAACGTTGGACATTGTGCCAAACGATGCACGGCTCAACCCATCGGACAGCTACACAGTGTAACCACAAAAAGCTACGCAGTAGCAGTATTACATTGTCAAATCGCCAAGGTGGTGGGGTGGAGGGAAGTGAATCGCTCTAGCCATGGACGAGACACTGTCGGTGTATATGGAGACCGTGTGTCAGTGTGTGTGTTGGTGTGTGCAGACTCCATGACGGTGTGTGTGACTGTGTGTGGGGTCTCTGTGTGTGACTGTGTGTGGAGACTCCGTATCGGAGTGTGTTGGTGTGTGGAGACTCCGTGACGGTGTGTGATGGTGTGTGGAGACTCCGTGACGGTGTGTGATGGTGTGTGGAGACTCCGTATCGGTGTGTGTGAGACGATGTGTGTGTGACGGTGTGTGTGACGGTATGTGGGGACGACGTGACGGTGTGTGTGTGGCGGTGTGTGTGTGACGATGTGTATGTAATGGTGTGTTTTGCATGTCGCACCGGCTGGTCTCGGGAGAAAAGGCATCAGGAGTGGGGAGGACGTTTCTCTCATTAGCCCCCCTTTCCCCCCTGGGAATCACCAACCAGCCTGTCGCTAGGCAACAGCCAAGACCCCTGCTGTCCAGACACTGTGCCAGCAAAAAACAGACACCGCTGGTGCTTTGGGGGGCACTGCGTCCAAAACCACTATTATTTCTAGATTTAAAGCTTTCGTGACTGCAAGGATTCATACTCTTTGGCTTTTTCGGTAAAGTCACGTAAGTAAAATAAAATCAATGAAAACAACTAAACTCGAAAACACAATTATTATGTCTGTCCTTCCGCTTTTACCTTTTTTTGTGACCCCATGGCACGGGTCTCCCCGAAGCCCTCAAAGAGTCTAAACGACAAAAAACCCCCTAAAATGTTTGCTATCGACCAACGACGCAACAGCCCCACAAGCAACAGCCACGGTGGAGTGGCTTTACGACTTTCGGGCACGCACAGTTTGTGTACAACCCAGATAAGCACACGCCAATAAATTCACCCTGGAGCGGCTGGCGCTGCCTGAAAAAACACACATTAGGCCAAGAAATGTTGTGTGAAACTGCCACAAGGCACAACGCATTTTTGCGCGTGCGTGTGTTGTTTTATCTGGCAAATTGTGCCCCCCCCAATTATTTATTTATCTCGGTGAATCGGAATATCGTTGGGCGAGCCAAGCGAGAGGCACCTGGATCTTTTCACACGATTCCACCACGCTCTCAACCCAGCGCCCAGTGCGCAAGCGGCCGAAAGAATCCAGCGACAGACCGCCGCCGGTTGCCGTTTTTTTCTTCTTCTACGGAGCGCCTTGGGAGGTTGGCTGGCCTGGGGGGGGGGGGGGGGTGCTGAGCAGTCACCGTTTCCCGTTCTGCTTTGCTGCAGAATTCCTTGGCCGTTTCTCTCGCTCCTTACCAAGTGGTCCCTACCGCTGCAGTCCTGCGCGACCTGGCTACAGTTACACGTTCGCTTTGCCTATTGAATATCACACGGTTGTCCTCTGGGTACCAGTACTAATGTGGGAAAGTGAGTGTCCACCACGGCTGTAACAATTCACCACCATTGGCAATCGATCAATTGTCACGATACGCGTCAAGAATTAAATCTTTCTTATAACGTTGCGATGAATGTAGTGTGCCTCTAAATTCTGATTCTTGCGCATACAATTCAAAGCATGTATCGTGAGCTATTAGAATCGACATGGGGTTTCCGCAGATAACA